CCCTAAACTCCTGCTGTCTGCTGTCTGAGATCCATTGATACCATTCGAAAATACCATTCCGATTTTGGTGTTGCCGCAAGTTAATTTCTTTATATGCCCCAATCTCCGCTCCGCAGTGACGGAAGTATAATATCCACTAGTCCTCTCATAATGACGCCAGCTGTATGTCTGTTTGGACTGTTGATACCGGTCGTGCTCCTGACGGCTGACAGATGAACAAGGCTAATAAAAAGAGCGGACAGTCTCACAACGCCCCTCGAATTCCCTTCTTCGCACAAATGCTTTCCAATGCACACACGGTGACAATATGATTACCGTTGAGTTTGCCCGAGGAACACCCTAATTCTCTTCTCAGATGCTCGGCCTTGTGTCGCTCGCGCTCATCAAGAAGCCCTCCCAGGCCTATCCGCACCTCACAGTTAACTGTGGTTCTCTAAGCTCAAATGCATCCAAAATTGACTGCAGTCAATTCTTTTCGGCCTTCTGCGGCTTCGTGGCTGGCAAACCTGTGAGTTCTCTGCAAACTGGTGTACAACGAGCGACCAATCCCGTTGTGCGTGCAGGTGCCTACAGGTAGCATCACAGGTGGCCCCTGCTTCGAGGACCAGTCCCTGGGAGCTTCGTGTGCGTACAATCTCACCGCTTAAGTAGCCCATGGCCATTTACGATGCTCCAGACAACATTTGGGGGGTGAACCACGCTCTCGCCCCGCAGATTCCTTCCGAGAAGATATGCTTCGAGGCGCTGATAGTGGTTAACAATACATGTGTTGGCAGCGAGGTGCAGTAACTTCCTCTCACACCGCTTTTGGCCATTAAATAATTCAAGGGTGCCGCGCAAGCGAAGGGGGATAGCTTTCAGTGGTTCCTGCAGCCCCTGACATTTGTCTGCAGTGCGTGAGGGGTGAAATATGTGTTCGATTTCAATTTGTGAAAAAAAAGGGGGTTCTGGTTTCCTAGGCATCACGAATCGCCGGCAAAGAACCGTAATAATAAGGGCAGTCAGAGTAAGTATTTTCGGTCGTTTCTGGGGTCGTTTCTGACGTCGTTTCTGACGTCGTTTCTGACGTCGTTTCTGACGTCGTTTCTGAAGGCGTTTCTGTAAAATGCTTTCGTCAGAAACGTGGGAGAAACGACTTGAAATTTGACCGACCCGTTTCTGAAGGTGTTTCTAAGTCGTTTCTGCAGTTAAAAATCAGGAAATAAGCAACCGGAAAATATGTGTGGCTGTCCAACTCTTCCCGCCCGCACCCGACGCGGCGCGTGCACCAAGAATCTCTTGAAAATCCTCCAGCGGCAACAACAACACGGGGTGCTTGCAAGCCTCTTTCTTCATCATGGTCTTTCGCTTCAGCGGCATTTTGAGTCTTGGCAGAAGTAGCTGCAGCTCTTTATGCGCTATCGTGAGGAACCGACTGCAACGCCCAAGGGCGGGGATTGATCCGCCGCCGCCATCATAATTATTGCCATAGGTAGAGTCCCTCAGATGAACGGCCAAATTAATTGTTCAGAAACGACACCGCAGAAACGACTGCAGAAACGACTGTAGAAACAGCTCCAGAGGCGTTTTTACATTTCGAGTCGTTTCTGGTTTTTGGCGTTTCTCCCACGATTAATTAAATCAGAAACGATTGTCAGAAACGACTCAGAACGACCTTAGAAATGCCTTTTAATTCTACTCTGACTGCCCCTACACGTGCTGGGAAGCTAGGAGAACGTTTCGGATACTATTAGTGAAGGGGATCCTAGCCACCTTAGAGGTTTGGTAGCTGTCTTAAGCACTTCACCCAGGACTTCTGGGTGTCGAGGGAATGGGTGCACATCCTGCGAACAGTTTGAGCCTAGTCGGCGCCATTTTAGATACATCTGAACTGTCGAGTATGCAGGAGGATTTGAGCGTCTCTCCTCAGTCAGTTTTCATTTGATTGCTTTCATCCTGAGGCGATGCCCATGATCCGCAAAGGCTTGTGTTGTGCGTTCCATTCTTTTAGATGCACAAAATAATTGTTCAATATGGAAATTAAAGTATTAAGTGGTGCTCAAGAACATGCCTCCAGGAGGATATGAACTTCCTAAGACTATTTTGCCAGGTGTAAAGGCAGCGATTGTCTGTGATGCCCTCGGGAGGATTCAAACCTCCTTGTCCTCATTCAATTTCGCTGAATCGAACTTCCATCTCCTCACCACAATGTTGTGCTGATTTGAGGCCAGATATTGAAATGAGGTGATCACCGTGATCCACAGAGGCTTGCAGGTCTGATTTTTTTCCAGTCAATATATGCCAGGATGGTTTTCTCGGTTGAACTCGGAATTGATTGGCAGAGAATAATCGGGCGTAATTGAAGTTGAAGCTATCGACAACCAGTCGTAATCGGAAGCAAAATAATAAAAATATGACTGGACATATGCCTCTGGAAGGAATTGAACCTCCGCCTCCTCGCTGAATGTCCTTTTCGAACTCTTGATCGGAATGAGGTGATCACCATGATCCAGAGAGAGTTACTGTTTTTATATCACTCCACACAGGAGTTCCCACTGTTATGCATACTAACACCATGTAAAGATCGATTGCTGTCTCCGAAATTTGGAGCACTCCATGTGGATTGCACAGGATTAATTAGGGTCGGATCAATACCTAGAAGCCGCCCTGGTCGTTGGACGATAATATTGGTAGGTAACTAAGTGAAGGTTAAAAAGTTTGTAGGATAATCATGGAATGGCTCTAGGGGGAATCGAACCTCCGTCTCCTCACTGCACAATCTTGTATACACGCGTATTGAAATGAGGCGATCACCGTGATCCACAGAGGCTTGCGGGTCTGCTTTGTTGCTCAGTCATTATTCCAAGACGGTTCTCTCGGTTCGACTCGGAATGGATTGGCAGAGACTGCTCTAGCCGAATGGGAGTTGAACATATCCACAACCAGTAGCTCGACCTCCCTGAGAATGCTAGAAAATTAAGGCCACGAGCCCTGTTATCGCAAGCACCAGAAGAAGAAGAAAAATGACTCCAGCTGGGATGAATGCCTATGGAAGGAATCGAACATCCGCCTCCTCACTAAATGTCGGTGCTGACAAGAAAATCAGCTCCCATTGGCTTAAGCCAACCATGTTTTCACGGGAAGTTGGCTTAATCCGCTTAAGCGGATTAAACCTGGGTAACACTACAATGTACTATGTATGCCAGGTGACAATATGGACAACCATTCAAGCTGTTTGAGTCAATTAATCCGATGCAGCTTTCAAATTAAGCCCCAATTCAACTCCTCCTGCTGCGGCGGTTTGAAGCAAGTTTTAGCCAATTGAGCAGTTCAAAGAGCGGAAGCCACTCACTGTACTGTCTGCCTCGCTACTGTTTCAACCAGTTTAGGAAATAGTGCAACAATACCCTTAAGTGCGCCCACCACCCGGCCACTGATGTCTGGCAAATGATAAGTATATATTCTTGATTGGTACTTTTGAACCGTCGATTTCGTGCTGAATGAGGATATACCAAAGAATATTCTAGCTAGTTGAATGTGTCGGTGGGTACACTTGAGGCATTCAGTCTTGCCACTTGTGCCACTCGGATTGGGCTTCTGGAAAGTTATGAGTATGAGCCTCAAGGCCGGATGAGCAATACTGTAGAAGCTGGGTGGCCAGCCATGAGGGAGGTCTGGGAAGTATAGGCCGCAATTTTGAGCAAGCACTCCTGCAAAAAGGTGGTGGTTAAAGACAAACGGGACCGAACACGTGATCGTCTCACTTTGCTCTTTGCCATTTAACATTCGGGGAAATGAATGCTACTCACAAAGAACACAAAGATACGGTCACATGTGTCAGTCTCCTCTTGTCTCAGCCCTTGATGAACATCTCGTTGCAACGTCCCAACTTGCGCACCGCACGCTTCTTGACAGCTGCGGCCCAACGCAATTGCTCCCAACAGTGTACGCCTCATATTTGCGGCTTGCACCGACGCGAGCCAGTGCCTCACGAGTGGCAAAGTTGGTGGCATCTTCGTCACTCAAAGGTTCGTCGATCTCCAGCACTCTCACCTTCGCTTGAACAGTGCTTAATATTTCCTCCAGTGAGCTGTGTTCTGCATGTCCTCAGAACATTTGCACAGGGGTCGGGGCACCGATTGAGCGGCTGGAACGGTTGAGTCGATTAATCCGCTTAATCCGCTTAATTTTTTTGAATTTAAGTGGGTGGCTGAAATGACCGAAAGGACTTGAACCATTTAAATGGCTTAAACCCTGAGAGTCAGCGTAATCATCTGAATCTGCTCAATCAGCTTAATTTTTTCTGTAGGGCAGGCTGAAAGGGCTTGAAAGGCTACTGAGAGTCTGAGAGAGTAGTGTATCTTGCTAGCAGATGTATTACACTGTGGTTGTACCCTGGTTTAATCTGCTTAAGTGGATTAAGCCAACTTGCCACCAAAACATAATTGGCTTAAGCCAATGGGAGCAGGTGACAGGCTGACCGTTGAATTGAAATAAGGTGACCACCATGATCCACAGGCTTACTGCTTTACATTCACTCCACACCAGAATTCCCCGCCGTTGTGCATTCTAACACCATGGAAAGAAGATCAATTGCTGTCTCCAAAATTTTGAGCACTCTCTGTGAATTGCACAGAATTATTGTGCTCGGAAAAGTAGCTATAGCCTATAGATCACCCGGTTTGACTACCTTGCCAGGTAAGCGAAAAATAAAAAAGAATTGATACGACTGCAGAATCCCTCTGAGAGGAATCGAACCTCCGGCTCTTCGCCACGCAGTCCTATCACTACAAACAGGATATTGAAATGAGGCGATCATCATGATCCACAGAGGCTTCAAGTATGTCAAGACAGTTTTCTCGGTTGAACTCGGAATGGATTGGCAGAGATTGATCTGGCAGAATGGAAGATGAACATACCCACGACCGGCAGGTCGACCTCCTGAGGCGAGCCAGGAACTCAATGCCACGAGCCCCGTTATTACAAGCAAAATAAAACACAGGAAAGACTGCAATGTACAATGCCTCTGGAAGGAATTGAACCTCCGCCTCCTCACTAAATTTCCCGTCTACTCGAGGTCATATTGAAATGAGGTGACCACCATGATCCACAGAAGCTTGCAGGTCCTACTTTCTTCCTTGTACGTGAATCCATGATTATGCGAGCTGCAAGTCGGTTTTGTTGATTGGGCTTGAAAGAAAAGTTGAACTTTATTGTGAATGAGCTAGAATAGACTCAGATAGAATCCGAGGCACGTCCTCTGGAAAACAGCGTGAACTGCATGCGACGATCGTTGTGAACTGCAAAGAAAAGAAAAATGCGAAGCGGTTGGGCGTTCATCTTTATAGGCTCCTCCGAGTCAAAACAGGACGAAGGAATTATAAATATTCAGAATTATTTGCATCATCGCAACTCGTCCTGGATATTCAGCACTGCGGTACAGTAACTCCTCAGGACATCCACATGTACGCGGTCCAGCTGTGAGTAACATGCCAAAGAAGGAGCAAAAGATCATTATTAAAAGTCGAAAACTTGAACGCATGGTCCGTGCACACCGGCTGACCGGCCTGAGTCTTCGCATTCGCCACTTATTTTCTGGACGAGTGGTCGTTATACTGGACGGCTTGTGGGATATCCTGTAGTCTTGCAGGAGCTGCAACTAAGTGACTATACTCCGACCAAGTCTATGGACACCCAGCTGTACGGACAGCACCGCAACGGAGTGTTCATTCAAATCAGCACCGTCGTCGATAAGGCACTTCCCCGCGCATCAATGCACTTGAAAGTAAAGTAATTGTGTGTGCTACATGGCGCGATTATGATGGGATCTTTTAGCTTTCGGGACCTCGCGTAGTCGTAACGCGCACGCAAACGTGCGATGGCGAGTAATGGGCATGCGCCGCTGCCACCCCTCGTGTCGGATACCCCTGCGCACGCTCGTCCGTGGCGGGCACCGGCGTGCTGACGCCGTGCCGCCTACGCTTTTAGCCCGCCAGACATATGCCCATCCACGCGCAAGCTCCGCGCACACCACACCCCAGGTTTTTTCTGCCCTCCAGAGGGAGAGCTCAGTCTCTTCTAGGGTTGTACGGACCAAGTACAGATTTGAATCGTCTCCTATGGAACAAATTCTACTCGTTCAGTCAATGCTCTCCAGCGGGCCATAAGGTCTGACTCAAAACCAATCTCCTTCTTTCGCGATTGCGTTCGACACTTAAACCCTCGCGCTTGCGACCACTGCACTCGGGGAAGTTCTCTCGATTTGCACCGAAATACTATCCTTCTCCTTCGATGTCTATCCCCATCCAGTGATTTTCCCCCAGCTTGCCGCTTTGCTGCGGCCACGCCGGTTGAGTATTACCCCAGAACCTTTGTTCGTTAACTTGGATCTCTGTCGTCCAATGTTCACTCTCGTCACTCACTTCGACATGCCTGATTATATTCCAAATGTTGCGGACAACGTCGTTGCTCAGTGGCCGACATTTCTGGGTTCAATCCCCAACCTTACGCATCACGGGCAGATGTCCTCATCGCGAAAAAGCGTAGAGGAGAAAACGAACCAAGTTCGTATACCTTGGACCTCTTGTTTAAATTCTAATTGGTTTACAAGTTCGCATTGCTGGTGCTTTTTAAATTTAGTTACTTTATTTACCTTTACGATGCTCACGCTAATAGTACTTAGTTCTAACGAATTTTGTTCTTACATTGGACCAAAAGTCCAAGCAACACTGTCCATGCCCTCAGCAGAATTCAGACCTCTCTCGCTGCTAAACCAAGACTGGGGATCCGCGTGAGCCTCTTGTTATTCAACGATATCTCACGTGTCTCATTGAAGGTGAACTTCGTGGCCGTAAAACACGTGAAGAAATTCAGGAAGTATGTAGAAACTTGGCTGGTCAAGACTGAGAAATGTCTTCGCCGGTTATTCGATGTTTACCGAGAGCTGTCTTCTGCATTCATTGAATTTCCTTCTGTCGGTGAGAAGGTGTGCCAATGTCGGCCGATCAGTCCGAGCATTCACCGCAGCCCACGCGACAGGTCGCGGCGTCACACACCTGGAGCTGACCACAACATCGTTTCCTCTTAGACTGCTGTTCGTTGCGACCACAGTCATGATACGCTTACGCCCCCATCTATCTTGTGGTCTGATGCACGCATCGCTGATGAGCCAAAAATGACCCGAGCCTCGACATCTAAGTCTTGCACGAATCAAATGGCTTCCGAATCTGGTTCCCAGATGTACCAGTCGGCGCTGGAGCCTCAGTTTCCTCGTTCAAGTTCGCGCACATATACATGGATACCCGTCGTCCAACGCGAAGCTTTCGTAGCTCGTTCTGGCCGCATATCCAAGTCTGTTGTGATCCTCTGCGTAAGCATTGTCCTGCACATCATCCCTGCGCCATCGGTCGTCGTGACTCGGTGTTCTGCGGATGCCTTTGATTGACTTGGCATCATTGGTATTTCTTGCAGCAGAAACAGAAGCTGGCGATTATCAAACTACAAGGGGAGGTTTCATGGGAGGTTTCAAAGCTGAAGCGTCTGTCTACGAGAGACGAAGGTTTCGTTGGACTTCGCACGATTGCTCCCGCCAGGGATCACCGGCTTCCCGAACACCTCTCTATTCGCAGTTTGAATCTCACGACCTCTGGGTCTCTCTGGGTAAACTGCTATTTTTTCCCGGCGTGGCTCCCAGGCTTCCAGACTCACAGCTCCCGGGCTCGGTCTAAAACACCATCCTTCCGATGATAATCAGGTCAGTGGGATGCCCCGCTACTGACCTTACGTTCTTCTACAACTCTTTTTCGTTCGGCAAGGGGCAACTGCCTTATATGAATTATGAATGACTATATCAGCTGAAGACGAGGACTTCCAGAGAATCATGGCTGCATTCTGGACGTTACAGTATTCTCATCAACTTAGAGTGGAAGTCCATCTTATTCGAAGATCAAAGTTCTCCGCCCTTAGAACGGCTTCTAAAGATGCATAGAGTACGTCTGTGAGTGTGATAAATTACCCCCTGGATATAACTCTCATGTCCATCATCTCGCTTTTGACTTCTTTCTGGACGCTTTCTTCCCGGCCTTACCACCATGGCGTCCACTCCCTCTGCCCATTTTCTCGACGGGGAAGCTATGATGTACATCAACTTCACGTTGATGGTTCAGACGTTCTTTTTTGGTCAGTGATTCCAGTTCTCTGCGTTATTCACCAACTAACCGATTTGATTGTAGGCGGGTATTCAGTCTTGATTTTGCTTTCGACTCGGATGCTCCTGTGCGTGTGGAAACGGGAATGCTCTTTTTCTTATCGTTGTGCCAACAGGAAACGAGGTTTGAAAACCCAATCCCTCAAGGTCCTATTCATTGTCGGCCTTTTCATGTACATTCTCTCCGCCGCATTCTGGGCCTATTCCATAGCAGACGTGATAGGCCGCATACAAACTTATATCGACCCAGAAAATACTCAATGGTCGCGCTTCTACAATCAAGTGACCACTCCCTTCAATCTATTCAATGCTATTGTCCTTATCAATGTATGTTCTTCTTTTTATTGTTTGGCGCTGCGTTGACCTTATCCATGCGCGTAGTTTGTTCTCAGCGACGGAATAGTGGCTTGGAGGGCGTGGGTTATCTCAAGGCGAGATTACCGTCGATTTATCGTCGTCCCGTAGCATTTTGGATTGTCACTATCGGTGTGTTGTTGCTATTCATATATACAGTTAACTGATGGATATTTGTTGCAGTTTCGACTGTTGCACTCATCGTTCTCAGAACCTACGACGTCAGCACCCACGAAAGGATCCACAATAATAATACCTTTGTCAAAGCCATCAGTGTTTTGCAACTCCAGAATATGGCCACATCGTTGCTCTCCAATATATCTGCTACCGGACTCATAGGTGCTACAGCATGGTTCGCTTCGAACATTTTAGCATCACTAAGAGCTCACCTAAAATCTTGTCCCAGGCGTCATCGACAAGCAATTAAAGCTAGTCTTCATGAACGATCGAAAGTAAACCAAGTATTGGCTCTGTTGATAGAATCCGGGGTCTTATACTGCTTTACTGGAGTAGGTGATTTTTTCTTCTTTGGTTTATTGAAAACTCATCGCTCCGCATACAGGTAATCGGGGTAGTATCGCAGCTCATCCGGTTACCTCGTGGAACACTAAACGACCTTTGTCTCTCTGACAATATTCAGTTCGCTGTATGTTGTTTTGGTTCCCAGACGTGTCGAGCTATTTGACAGGTTTATTAGGGCGCATATGCTCCGGCGGTGCTTCTGTTAATCAGTAGCCACAAATCGTCCGACGACACCGAGTTTCTGGGTACCCTGCCAATCTCAGCGCATAGACAAGTTGCCCCGTCGGAAGTTCAACACACTCGACATGTCAGCGCGATTCAATTTGCTGTTAATTCGTCTGTCGACAACGAATCTTCTGAGTTTGAGGTTAGATCCGGAACCGAGGCTGCCCAGGTGGAGGGAAATACCGTGGAAAAGAAAATCTAGCTGTATAAATATTCTTTTCTAACACGTTTTGGGAGGCGTCTCCATAATCAGAAACTCAAGAGATCTCCGGACTGCGCAGCCCCAGTCGACGTTTTCTTGCGGCGGGGGCCGATGTTGTAACAGAATACATTTATATTTGAAGCCTAAGTATCGCAGCTCTAAAATTAGGCAAAGTTGAACATTCTTGCAATGACATCCTGCACGCTCGGCTTGTAGGTCCTATTTTCTTCCTCGCCAGTGTGTGGTTTAACACCTGAAGTTGGCTAGGTTTTTGGGCTGAATCTGGTTACTATGTGCTTCAATGTTGTAGTATCTGTGTATAAGAGACTATGTACCGACGGCCTCTGGATCTAGGATGGAAGTTGAACCGCCTATTGTTGTCTGTCTGTATGACGCCGGAGATGAGTATTGGAAAATTTGAGCCACAGACCACGTTACCACAATTTGTCTTTGTTGAAAAAACCAGCCACAACTTCGACATATGCTTCCGGGAGGACTCGAAATTGAAATGAGGTGATCACCCAGATCCACAGAGGCTTACTGCTTCACAGTTGCTCCGCACAATAATTCCCCGTCATTGTGCATGCTGACGCCGATTGCTGTCTCCGAAACTTTGAACACTCTATACGAATAGTACAGAATTAATTGTGCTCGGGTAAGTAGCTATAGCCTATAGATCGCCCGGCTTGACTACCTTGCCAGGTAAGCGAAAAATAAAAATAAATTGTTATAACTGCAGAATCCCTCCGAGAGAAATCGAACCTCCGTCTCCTCATTACACAATGTCTCGTAGCTAGGACTCATTAACATGAGGTGATTACCGTGACCTACAGAGGCTTGCAGGTCTGATTTCTTTCTAGTTAATATGCTTATACGGTATCGGTTGAACTCGGAATGGATCGTCAGAGATTGATCCGCCGGAACGAAAGTTGAACATATCCACGACCCGTAGCTCGACGTCCCTGAGGCGAGCGGGGAATGTTGGAAACTCAAGGTCACGAGTCCTGTTATTATTACAAGCCAATAAAAAGTCTTGACCGAGTCGACCTAGTATGCCTCTGGAAGGAATCGAACCTCCGCCTCCTCATTCAATGTCCGGCTTGCTCGAACTCATATTGAAACGAGGCGATCACCTTGATCCTCAGAGGCTTGCCGGTCCCACTTCCATCCTTGTCCATGAATACTTAAATACAGGCTGCAAGCTGGTTTTGTCCTTTGAACTAGAAAGAAAAGTTGAACTTTACAGTGAATGAGTGGGGAGAGACTTGGATAGAATCCGAGGCAACAATAATCCTATAGATTATTTGTCCTCTGGAAATCAGTGGTACTGCATGCGACGATCATACTACTAACTATGAACCGCAAAAAAAAAAAAAGCAAAAGGCTGGAATTGGACAGTGATGCCTCCGGAGGGATTCGAACCCTCAACTCCTTATTAGGGCTCGGAGTTGACGCGATTCACAGAGTCATCAAGCACAACGGCAAGGTGACTTTTCCTTAGTCCACAGAGGTTTTACTCAGCCAACTTCATATCTTGTCGGATAGGCTCCTCGAAGCAGAAAAATCGGAAGCCTAACTTGTATTCAGAATGATTTGGATCATCGCAGGCTTTTCATTCAGCACCGCGGTAGCTCCCCAAGGCGTCCACGTGTACGCAGTCCTGAGTCCAACTCTGAGCGACATGCCAGAGAAGGAGCAAGATAATTATTGAAAATCAAAAACTTGAACGCATGGTCCGTGCACACCGGCTGCTAACCGGCCCGAGTCTCCGCCTCGTACTGGTGGTCGTTCTGGACGCTCTGTGGGATACCCGATGGTCTTACAGGTGCAACTATCGTGACCAAGTCTATGGATCACCTTTGAGACTACCCATCTCGCCGTCGCCGTCGGAACCCACTCTGGTCTTCCAGCGGTACGGGATAGCAAATCGTGGACAGGACTGCTGAAACACGCAGGCTGGTGCCGCTCTCAAATCGACCGCAAGGCCATGCACCAGGGACGCTCTAAGAGACATTTAATGGCCACAGGTGGGATAGGCTTCGCTGGCGCCACACACCTCGCCTCAGCCAACCTCCACCCAGCACCCCTGTTCTCGCCACGTCACCGTCAGCCTGTATGCGCGTTCTTGGGTGCGTCCTTGTCAGCGTCGTGTCTTACCTTTCGCTCAAACGCGTCCAGCCCAAGCCGCCTCGCATGGAAGCGTACATGCTTTTGTGCTTGTGTCTGCGCGTCCGCATCGCGCGCGCGCCGTCGCGGGCCCGATTCTAATTCCACACACTCGCCGTGCCCGGCCGACACGGCGCCACGGCGTCGAGCACGCCAACCCAATCCCCCACGGCCTCCTCCAGCACCACGATCTACGTACTTACCATGCCCAAGGCCAGCAGATCCCAGTGCCGGCTCGAAACGCTTGTGTGACCCGCAGAGTTCTCTTTACCGCCGCCCACACGCCGCCGACATCCACCAGCAGCCACCTATGCCCTCCCGCGTCTCAGCGTCGGACGCGCTGCGCTGTACGCCCCGTTCACGACGTGCCCTGTGCTCTTCCGTGCGTGCCCGCTTCGACGTATCCGTTCGTCCGCGTGCGCCGTATCGATGAGACGAGCAACTCCCGATTGTGGCTCCAATTCCACACTGCATGCCCGCCGTGGCGCCGGTTCCGCAACTCTGCGAGTCGACGATGGTGCACTCGGGAGACGGGGGATGGCTCTGGAGGGCTAATTGCTTGTGGGCGGTCATGGACGTGGGGCTGGAAGGAAGGAAGGTGGGAAAGAGGTAGAGCGCGGGGCCGTGGAGTGACGCATCCGCATGGGCACCAGCGCGCTTCGACGCCTATCCAGCACGCTCGTTTCGTCGCGGGGAGGGCGTTTGGTGCGCCGCTCTTTCCGCTGCTACCGCCCTGCGGCGCTAGCACGCCATTTATCGGTGGCGAGAATCGCCGAGCTGCGCGTACCACCACGGCCCACCCACGCATCCTGGCTGGAGCGGAGTCTTCCCGGTCCCCGGATACGTCTTCCCTCCTCGTGCTTATCCTGGACGGAGCTGTCTGGTCCTTCAGTCCGTGTCTCTCATCGCATCTAACGAAGGGAGATGTCGGCGCCAGGGAATCCCTCGACCCCTCCTTGAGCTCCGGCGGGCGCACGCACACGACGCGTCGGCGGGCTTGCTATCCTCGGCCGGATGCATGGCGTATCGTGCTGTGCGATTGGCGTCTTTTCTGCCGTGGAAGCGCGAAGGACACCGCACGGACGCTTCGGCCGCGGCTGCACAAGAACGAAAACGCAGTCCTAAAACGCGGTCCTTGTGCTGGGGCATACACCCTCGGATTCCCGTGCGCGCTAGTCCTAGGATCAAGCGACGCTTTCAGCACCGATGACTTTCACCCTGCACTCCGCACACGGCTCGGAGTCGCTCGAATACTCGTTGGGCTCTTCCCCGTCGGCGGCCGTCTGCGCACTCGCGGCGAATGAGATGACTGCGCTCGGCACCTCACCCCGCCGCGACACTCCGCAATACCAGCGCGACTCGCCACTACCGGCGCGCGCCGCGCCAGTCTTGCATGCAGCTCCGCATCCACACGCTATACGCGCGCGCGCGAATCCATGGGGCGCGACCAGCCACTACGCTTTATCCATCCCAGCCCACAATACTATCTATCCGTGGCCGAACCCCTGCGGATGTTGCCTGTGCTGCACAGCGACGCAGTCGGCTCGTGTCTTCCTCGGACCTGACGGAACCTGCGAACTGCGATGTGGTGCAGGGGATGTCATCGGTGTAGGGGCAGGAGACGAACGTCTGAGACGCGTGTGGAATGCTGCGAGGGAGGAATTACAGCTAAAGTCGGTATCATGAGTATGTACGCATGCCTATCTAGTTGAGACATGAGTACTTATCTTCTGGTACATAGATACATACATCTGTTCTTTTTTATTATAAAATTATAGTCTCACCGACGCGCTCCTGCACTCGCAGTCGCAAATCATGATTCACTCATTAAAAACTTGTTTTGTCTTCATCATTCTGTGCTGCCCCGCAGACCCCTTCTTACGAGGACGAGTCGAATCGAACGCCGTTCAAAACGGTTACATTCCTGGTCTTTACACATCGATAGATTCACTTTTGTGCAACTTTCTAGTTCAAACCTCAAGTGCACAAAACTACATTTCCACAGGGTCGGACGGATTCCCCGACCTTCTATGATGCTAGAACACAAATATGAAAGAATTCCTTGGTCCCACGGAGACACTTTTCCATGTTCCAACTTTTGACGCGGGGGGGGAAGGAAGGAGGGAGGGAGAGAAGGAAGTGGAGGGCGGGGCCGTGGAGACGGGCGTCCGCATGGGAAGCAGCGCGCTTCGATGCCTGGCCAGCGTGCCCGTTTCGTCACGGGGAGGGCGTTTCCTGTGCTGCTACCCCATTAAAATCTAGCCCTGCGGCGCTACTCGAGTATCAGCACCACCACGCCCCACAGATCCTAACTGGATCTTCTTCCCGGTTCAACCCGGTTACGTCCTCCCTCGTCGTGCTTATCCCGGACGGAACGGTCTGGTCCTTCGGTTCGTGTTTCTCGCCACCTCTGGCGATGGGAGACGCCCGGGAATCCCTCCATTCCTCGTCATCTCGACCGCGATCTCCGGCGGGCGCACGTCCATGATTCCCACATAGGGAATACTGTACCGCCGTGTATGGTAGCAACCGGTAACGCGTAACGGGGCCTTAAAAGTTGCCTAAATCACGCCGTAACGCGCAAAAATCTGACTTCGGTAACCGTTTTGGGCAAATTTTCGGCCCTGCGGGACCCTGAATTACCATATATGGAAGCTCCGGACCCATATATGGTAACCAGTTGCTAACTTTTGAAAGTTGGCAAGTGTAACGCACCTCGGGTGGTTGCTACCATACACGGCGGTACAGTAGTATCTTCTCGGGAAGCACTGTTGAGTGAATTCCGGATGTCGCCATTCCATGTCTGTCCATTCCCAAAAATGAAACGTTTTGGTGTCTGGTCGAGCAGCTGATCCGCGGAAACTTGGTCTCGTTGCGGCATTTCTTGGATGTGCTTTTGCAGGCTTCTCCCACATCCTTGTGCAGGGTTCGATGGCGCTTCTGATTTCAGCAGAAACAGTGCCGGAATCGGCGCCTAGGACAGCTTCGACGCTCAGGGCATTCCCGGCATGCACAGGGCCGGTGGTATCGTGTGTGCCATCCCTCTGTATGTATATTATCGATTGACGCTACTGATTTAACAGTTCGTTCACCCTCTGAGATGTTCAGGGTATCCAAGGCATGCACGGATCCATCTAGCAGAAGCCTGTTGCCATAATCGTTAACTGTGGTTTAGCGCTCAGGCACCATGCTGCATGAGAAATGTTTTGAATTGAGCTACAGCTTGCCGTGGGGCAGTGTGCACCTCGTGGTGTATGGTATATATATTCCACTGGATCGTAATCTTTGACCACACCCCATCATGTCGAGAATGTGAGCCTGCCTGTATTCCCGTACTAAAGGCACCTTCTAATGATCTGACATCCACCAGTGTTCATCTCCACAGTAAGCACATAACTACGATTGCTACCGAATATTTCACTAATCCATGACGGCTTCTTAGATATCCGTGTCAGATCATCTGACAGTCCACATCCCGATCTTCCTGCGGAAATGGAAATGGTTGCTCAACTCGTAGTACACGATGCCATAATCCAGCAAACTACCGGGGTCTCGGAGGCTCAGAATTCTTCAAGTTGGAAATGCAGGTTTGACTGCCAAATGTTAGTAGTGTGATCTCACAGCCAACCCATTCCGGTGCTGATGCTTTCTTACAGCCCACCGCATGCAACCAGCTTCTCGATAGTAGTCATGTGCAGAGAGAGATGTACTCGACTTCTTGGCTCAATTGAGATTGCATATGGGGAAGCTCTTTCCTCAGGGGAGCAGCGAAAGCGTGTGTCCACCATCCATGTGAAAAACCCTTGACTTAGAATTGTGTAGCCTTCCGCTTAGCCCTTGTGAAAGTGAACCCTGATGGTCCATTACTCAACTTGATCGCGGCTTTCTCAATTGCAATGTCGACCCAAGAGCCATTGAATCCTGCTGGACATAATATCACTACAATGCAAAGTAAGAGAAATCAATGTGTTGGAATGTCTTCT